TTGTCCCGTGTGGTGTGCGTGTGTGTGTGTTGTGCGGTGTGCGTGTGCTGAGTGTGTCGTGTGTGTGTTGTGTGTGTGTGTGTGTGTTGCGTGTTGTGTGTTGTGTGCGGTGTGTTCCGTGTTGTGTGTTGTGTGTGGTGTGGTGTGTGTGTGTGTGTTGTGTGTTGTGTGTTGTGTGTTGTGGTGTGTTGTGATGGGTGTGGTGTGTGTGTGTGGTGTTTTATCATTTATTGTGTTTCGTGTGGTGTGCGTGTGTGTTTTGTGTGGTATGCGTGTGCTGAGCGTGTTGTGTGTGTGTGTTGTGTGTGTGTGTGTGTGTGTGTGTGTGTTGCGTTGCGTGTTGTGTGTCGTGTGTCATGTGTGTTGTGTGTGTGTGTGTTGTGTGTGTGTGTGTGTGTGTGTGTGTGTGTGTGTGGGTGTGCCTGTGTGCATGTGTTTGCGTGTAACGGTGTAGGCGGTCTGGAGGCCACAACCAGATGCCCCAAACCCCCATAGGTGGACCAGGGGCCAGGGGACCCTCCAAGATAGCCCCCATTCGGCCCCAGAGGGACCAAGACGGCCCTGCCGCTCGCCAAGACGGCCCCAGATGGCCTCCAGACCGCCCGAGAAAACTCGAGATGGCCCCAGGATGGTCCCAAGATGCCTCCAAGAGGCTCACAAGAGGCTCCCAAGAGGAATTAGTTTCGCGCGTAGCCCGCCCGATTCTTGACGCTGCTGGCGCGCTCGCCTGCGGCCGCGACGAAAAAGTATCCCCACCAGCCGCGGCTCTCAGGGGGCAGGAAGACACCCTCCTTACCTGCCACACTGTCTGGCTCAACCTCCCGCCCTCTCCTCTCCCCCTCTTTCCTACCTCTGCCGACCTCACCGATACCGAAGCCACCGCCCAGGCCGTTGCGCGCCTGGAAGGTTCATCCATGCCCTAACCCCCGTCCCCGATCGGTTCGAGCTGCTAAGGCACCCGCTTTCAGCCGCTCGCTGCCCCCCCCACATCATGGGCAAGAACCATCATGGATCGCTCGCCCGCTGGCCGAGCTGCTACAACTGCGAGCCCTGGCCCCCCGGGGGGGCACGCGGCTGCGGCGGTGCATACTGTGTTGCGCATTGTGGTGCTGGCTGTGATGCGTACAGGCGCTGTGGTGCCGGAACCACACGGCGGGGGGGGCTTTACGTTATGCCTCCCCCTGCCACCCCGCATAGCGCCCGTCATGGCCGCGAATATTAAAGCGCTCCAGCCATTCCATCCATACGGGCTCAGCTGGCCTGATGGCCACGACTGCTTTCATGCTGACCCCGCGCCACCACGGATCACCTCGCGAGTTGACGCCCGCGGTAAGCCGAGTTTGTCCACCGTTTGTTGCCTGCTTCGCGGCGTCCGCATGGGGCGCCTTTACCTTCGTGGGACAGCTGCCGCTTCCGTGTGTTCTGGAAGCCGCCTTGTCACCCTTGCGCCGCAGCTGCTTGTGGCGCCCTACTTCCTCGTCCTTTCTCGTGAACCCCTCCTCCTCCTCCTCCTCCTCCTCCTCCTCCTCCTCCTCCTCCTCCTCCTCCTCCTCCTCCTCTTGGTCGTTAGTTTATCGCGTGTCTCGTTCGCTTGCTGGCGCGAGGCAGGGCCGCTCTGCCATCCGCAGGAGGGCTGCGGATGGGCACCGCCTTGCGCGTGGCGATGCCCAGGATGCGCCGCCCATGAGGATCATCAGGGGGGGCACCTCGGAGGCGGGTGGCCAGGAGGTCTGGTAGTGTGGTAGTGGGCCAACGCTGCTGCTGCATTGGTGACCTGTAGAGCGACGCGTGCATCGTGAGAAGAAAACGGAAGAGAGGCCTCTGGCAACGTGGGGGCGTTCATAACATCTCCCAGACTCCACGACCACAACTCCAATGGCCCTGCTTAGGGGTTGTTTTGGGAGTGCTCTTGGGGTTCTCTTTGGCCTCTTGAGAGCCGCTTGGGGGCTTTTCGGGCGCCTCTTGGGCCCTCCTGGGGGTCTTTTCGGGTGGGAGGGTCGACATGTCGATGGATGTTCCCCCTTTCGGGAGCCTCTTTGGGGTCTTTGGTGGGCCTATTTAGTTCTCTTTGTGGCCTCGTTGGCGATCCTGGAGTCGTCTTGGGCCTTCTCTTGGTGGGGCCGCTTTGGCCGGTTTTCGGGCGCTTTCGGGGGCCTCTGGGACGGGGCAAAGTTGGTGACTTGCTGGGCTGTCTTCGAGCATCGGAAGTCGAAAAGGAGGACGCGAAACACATACAATAATTATATGGAAGTCGTTGATTTTTGCCTCCTGGGGCCCTCTTGGGGCCCCTTTTGGGGCCCTCCTTCGGCGTCTGCGGGCTTCTGAGGTTGTCTTCAAGGTGTATTGTGCCGTCTTGGAGCGATCTTGGGCTGTTTCATGGCCCTCTTGGAACATCTTTCGATTTGAGTTGCTGTGTGAGAACTATAAGACTTGCTCGGAGGGGACCTGACAAGGGACAGGGGGGTGGAGCATTGTAGTCTGACCAAGGACCCCCCAGACCCTTCCAGGAACCCCACCACGACCGCCCCTCAAGGGTAGACGCGCATGATCCAGATTTAGCCGCGAAGTGCACTTTGCATTGTTTCGTGTCAGGGGTGGTGACCATGCGCGCAGCAGGCAGTATGCTGGAACCTCCGCCGCCCCTGTCTAAAACAATGTAAAGTGCTCGCGGGGCCGACGAACATGACCTAAGACGTTGCCCCAAAGTGTATTTTGTATTGTTCAATGACAGGGATGGTGGGGGGGTTGGCATGGGTGCCAGTATGGGTTCGGATTGGCTGCCGGTCGCCTGGGGGAAGGGCTGCTTATTCATCGGGAGCATGCACGCACGCACGCACGCACGCACGCACGCACGCACGCACGCACGCACGCACGCACGCACGCACGCACGCACGCACGCACGCACGCACGCACGCACGCACGGAGAGGGGGGGAGGAAGCGCTCTGAAGCGCTCTAGGCCAATCGCGCCCCAGCAAAAGGCTGGTGGGACACCTGCGCGATCCTGGCCATGCCGATCCCGTGGCCAAGGCAGGAGGCCGTGTACACGGATCCTAGGGCCAGGATGTGCCTAGCCAGGGCTGGTGCAGGTGGATAGCCGATGCCCTCCTCCAAATCCCTTATGGATCGTCGCCAGGGTCCGGTTTTTTAAGGCGCCTGTTTGGAAACTGGGGGGGGATCTAGTTTTTTAGGGCGTTCTCTTTGGATTGGAGCTCGGGCGGTCCGGTTTATGAACGGCGCCCCGACGACGAGGGGGGTCCAGAAGATTGGGTCGCATCTGGAGGGGGGTCCCGTTTTGTAGGGGGGGTCGATTACTAAGGGATTTTGAGTACAGTGCCGTTTTTCACACATGCTCCGCGTGCGGATCATGTATTAAAGATGCAGGGTTTGATATTAAAAGCAACGATGAGTTCATGCATACATTTATTCATACGTTACTCATGTATAAAAATCCAATATGTTTAAACATCCTATGTATTAAAAACTGCCCTGTATCTTCCGCCTTCCTCCCTACGCCTCCCTTCCCCCTGCCCTCCCTCGTCGGCGCGCGGGGCCTGCGGCGCGAGGGGGCGGCTGTCTGGGCAGGCGGAGGGGCGGCTGGCTTCCCTGGGAGGCGTGGGCCCTCCAGAGCTGGGCCGCGCGCAGCCGAGGACGCTTCGGGGACCGTCTCCTGCCCTGAAATCGGACTGCCTGGAGATACAGTGCCGTTTTTAAATCATGCTCCGCGTGCGGATCACGTATTAACATGCAGGGATTTAGTACCAAAAACAACGATGAGTTCATGCACACATCTATGCACACATTAGTAATGTATTTAACAATATCATATGTTTAAAACTCCGATGTATTAAACACTGCCCTGTAGGGTCAATTGGCGGGCAAAGCACCCTGTCGTCCGAGGTGCCCGGTGCGCTCTCAGCTGTCCCCGAAGAGCCGAGGGAGAGGCTTCTTCTCAACCCTGGTCGTAGCCATAACCGCATGAGGTCTCCAGGGTTACCAGCCTCTGGTCGATAGAAGAAATCAGGCAAGGGAAGGGAAGTCGGCAAACTAGATCCGTAACTCATGGTAAAGGATTGGCCCTCAGGGTTGAGGCCCCTCCTGTCGCAGGCCTAGAGGTTGACACCAACACCAATATCGGCGGTGTTCCTCCACCGAGGGAAGAGGATCCCGATCTCGGTGATGGTGGTCATATTCTGACTTCCGAGGTGATCGAAACATTACCACCAACACCGAAATCGAGGATTATCTTCCCCCTGTGGAGGCACCCCCCTGTGATGGCGTTGTTCCCCCCTGGGAGGGGGGGGGGGGGGGCGAGGAGGAGGAGGAGGGAGGAGGAGAGGGGGCGAGGAGGAGGAGGAGGAGGAGGAGGAGGAGCAAGGGGGCGAGGAGGAGGAGGAGGAGGAGGAGGAGGAGGAGGAGGAGGAGGAGGAGGAGGAGGAGGAGGAGGAGGAGGAGAGAAGGGGAGGAGGAGGAGGAGGAGGAGGAGGAGGGGGGGCGAGGAGGAGGAGGAGGATGAGGAGGAGGAGGCGGAGGAAAAGGAGGAGGCGGAGGAGGAGGAGGAGGAGAGGAGGAGGAGGAGGAGGAGGAGGAGGAGGAGGAGGGGGGGGGGCGAGGAGGAGGAGGAGGAGGAGGAGGAGGAGGAGGAGGAGGCAGGCCTCCAATGCTGGCCTCCCTCGGGGAGGCCCGCCCCCCCCGCGGGGCCCGCCTTGCCCCGCCCGTGCACGCCGCCGCCGGGCTCCTCCGCCCCTCTTGGGCGCGGGGGAAGGAGCCCACGCTCGCTGGACAGGAGAGAGAGAGAGAGAGAGAAGCCATGCGCGTCAGCGTCAGAGGTGCGTTGGCAAGAATAATGAAACGAGCTCTGCTGCCAGAGGCGCGGCTGCGAAACAGAGGACGCGGAGGAGGAGGAGGAGGAGGAGGAGGAGGAGGAGGAGGAGGAGGAAGAGGAGGAGGAGGAGGAGGAGGAGGAGGAGGAGGAGGAGGAGGAGGAGGATGAGGAAACAGCAGCGGCAGACTCACTCTGATGTCCCAGTCCTGTCCCAGTCCGCGCTCGCTGGACAGGGTGAGCGTTTTTTGTTGTTCGCTGCTTTTTGCCGATCGGCGCGCCCCCCCCCCCCCTGGAGTAGATCTTGGCTGTTTTTGGCGCCTGTTTCGAGCAGGTGGAGCCTACCCCATGCTGGACGCGCTGCTGCGAACAGTCGCACTATCTTCGGTATCGTTTCACCGATCCCCATCCCCATCCCCATCCCCTTCGAGACCCCCACCAGATAACCACCCCAGTTGGGGATACGCCTCTCGAAACGCGAAGGGAGCGGCCTATATCCCCATCTAGGGGGGTAAATCGGCCAGTGGGGCCCGGGCCACGCCGCTGGGGATGGAGATCGGTTAAACGATGCTCTGATCTTGGCTGTTTTTGGCGCCTGCTGCGAGCAGGTGGAGCCTCCCCCATGCTGGACGCACTGCTGCAAACAGTCGAGCGAAGCAGAGGTCCAGAGCCCGACCCCTTCCCCTTCCGCCCAATGTCGAAACGCTCACCAGCGGGTGTGCGGAGACAAGAGCACACGCTCGCCGGACATGGTCGGCGGCGCGCCGGGTGGTGGTGGTGGTGGCCTTCTCAGAATGGCGGCGGGGGCCTCTCAGAAGCCCTCGTGGCTCGTGAGGTGCTCCCTGCTTCCCTGGAGGAGGCTCAGAGCGCTCATCCGATGGCCGGCAAGGCTTCTGAGGCGCCCGCAGCCTTCTGAGAAGGTCTGCCCCTTCCCACTTCCCCCCGGACGCGCCGCCGGAGAGAAAGCACGCTCGCTGGGCATCGGGGGTGCGCGGGTGAGAACAGTTAAAATCTCGCAAAGCCCACAGGAGAATCGGTGGTCGTGCCTCCCGGGGCACTTCTGGTTGAGCCCTCAGAGCCCTCTTGGGGCACCTCGGTGGCGTGTTGGGCAGCCTAAAGGGCCGTCGTGGGTGTCTTGAAACGATCTTTTGGCGACTCGGCGCCTTCTTGGACCGCCGTCGGGGCCTCCTGGGGCCCTCTCGGCCAGCTGTAGAGCCTTCTTGGAGCCGAAGCAGTCATGCGACAAGCTCGCCGTGCTGTGCCTTCTGTCCTCTCCCATCCGATGCCATTTTTCCGTAGGCGCGCTAACGGTGTTCTTGCGAACGGCGATGTGTAGGAAAACCAATCGCAGGAAAGCGTGGTTCGTGGCCAAGCCGCTTGCAGCAACGCGTGGCTCGTGTTTTCCTACAACTCGCTGTGTCGGTTTCGTCGGAGTCCTAGAGATTGACACCAACACCAAGATCGGCGGTGTGCCTCCACCGAGGGAAGACGATCCCGATCTCGGTGATGGTGGTAATATTCTGGCTTCCAAGGTGACCGAAATATTACCACCAACACCGAAATCTAAGATCATCATCTCCCTGTGGAGGCAAACGCCTGTGCTGGTGTTGGTGCCAATTTCCAGGCCTCCAGTTTCGCTCGATACGCTCGCACATCTGAAGTGTAGGAAGCGCTGTTGAAGCCCCCCGTCGTGATCGTCTTTGTGCCCGCCCTCCCTCGCGCCCGTCGCCTCCTCCCTCCCTCCTCCCTCCTCCCTCCTCCCTCCTCCCTCCTCCCTCCTCCTCCCTCCTCCTCCTCCTCCCTCCTCCCTCCCTCCTCCTCCTCCCTCCTCCTCCCTCCTCCCTCCTCCTCCCTCCTCTTCCCTCCTCCCTCCTCCTCCCTCCCTCCTCCCTCCTCCCTCCTCCCTCCTCCCTCCTCCCCCCCCCCCCGGGCCAGGCGGGCGTCGAGGTGAAGCGGCGCGAGGGCATCCGCGACGCGTTCCTCGAGGAGCAGACGGAGAAGATGGGTCCGCTGCTGCAGGCGCCCCCCGCTGGGTCGGAGGTTGATGGACCTTCTGCCCTGACACGTCGATTGGTGAATCGGCCGTTTTCGGTTCGCGAGAGGGCGTCGCGGGTGTCATTCTTGCGGGTCCAGGTCCGTCGGTTTCGGTCCTGGGCCGTTTTCACTAGAAGGGAGGTTTACTAAAGGGAGGTTTGTCCACCGCCGATTGGGGGAGCGCCGGGGGACAGCGCCGGGTGCGTCGAATAGGGGGGCGAGGACTATCGTCAAGTCGGGCCTGTCCCTCTGCAGGAGGAATGATAAAAAATGGTCAAAAATAGTCAGTGGTCTATATTTTGACTGTTTTGAACCATTTGGGAGTATTTTTGTATTATTTGTTTCGTCCAAATCCGCCTGCAGGAGGACATGCCCGACCTACGACTATCATGAGGTGACAACGTCGGCCATGCGCAGAGGGGGTTGGGGGGAGGGGGGAGGGCTCCTCAGAAGGAGGCTGCTCCTCAGGAGGCGCGGGCCTCATCTGCAGATGTACGGCCCGCGCCCTCTGCGCGCCGCCACCAACTAGCAGCGATGCCTGTGCGGCCCCCGGATTCCTTGGGGTTCGGGGGGCGCCGTGTGTGTGTGTGTGTGTGTTGATGTGTTCAAGAGGGGAAAAAACACAGACACAATTATTCGTCGATTCCCCAGAAAATATGGGAAAGTATGGGAATTGGGCGGGAAGACAAAATCCCAGGAAGTATGTGAAAATATGGGGAGTATTTTTATTTGTGTGTATTTATTTGTGTGTCCCAGGGCCCCTTCATGTGTGTGTGTGTGTGTGTGTGTGTTGGTGGATGGGGCCCTTCGTTCGAACGGGAGCCCCCACTCAGGGTCCGACAGGTCGCACCCGTATCGTACCTTCTTGTGCCTTCATCACCTTGCCCTTCACGACCTTGCCCTTCTCCCCCTGTCCCCACTTGTTCTTTAGCCAGACTCGATACTGGATGTGTGTGTGTGTGTGAGTGTGTGTGTGTGTGTGTGCGTGGCTATCATCCTTCAGAGCGTGAATTACCTACCCTGCTTTCGCTTCCAGGCAAAACCAAGCCATACCACGCGCCTCCTCGTCAAGCGGCCTGACCAGTACAGGCTGCAATTTGGCATCTTTCGTTATCTCTTGGAAGCGAGGGTGGTCAAAAGCGAGGTAGGTTGGTTTCCCCCTTAATCCTACGGGCCGCCTGCGGCGTCTGCACGTGCCTGTCTCCAGTCGTGCACGCCTGCCTTGTTTCTCCATCCGCCAGCCGCCAGTTGGGTGGCCCCCTGTCGGCACGCGCTCGGTGGTAATCAGCTGAGCGCATCCCGCTGATGCCCTCGCTGTGTTGGACCAGCCCGCCGCGAAACGACAAGTGTGTATGGATATCATTTTCTGGGCCACGACGCTTCCAGATATCAACCAGCGATGAGCGAGGGGGGACATGAGAAGGAGAAGGCCTTCTCAGGAGGCGGCAGTACTTTTCAGAAACCCTCGTGCCTTCTGAGAAGTTTTGTTCTGCCTTTTGGGAAGACCTTCTCCTTCTCGCTTCCCCCCCTCGTTTGCCGCCAGATCATGACCCCCTCGTCTTCTTTCAACGCGCCTTCATTCAGGAGGGGAAAAAGCACAGACACAATAATCGTCGATCCCCCAGAAAATAGTGGAACATATGGGAAGTGGGGGGGAAGACAAAAACCCAGAACATATGGAAACATATGGGGAATCCTTTTATTTGTGTGTATTTATTTGTGTGTCCTTGGGCCCCTTCATTCATCAGCGCACGTGCCTCGGGCCACGGTGCGCTGCCCCCTCTCTGCCGGGCCCCCCTTCCGCGGCGCCGACGGAGGAGGGGGGGACGAGTATCAGTCGCCGCGAAGCGAACGGGCTCGGAAGGAAACGGGTCGTGGGTCTCAGTCCGGAAGGAACAACAGGAACGAACGACCGTGGGTCTCGTGGGTCGTGGGTCCGCGAAGCGAACGGGTTCGGAAGTTACAGAAGGAAGAGAGCGGGTTCGGAAGGAAACGGGTTCGGAAGGAAACGAGTTTCAGTTCCCCGTTCTCAGGATCCTGGGGCCCTCCCTGGGATTGGGTGCCATCGAACAACTCGGGGCTCCAGAGACGGGGTCACTGCATGCAGACGGGGTCACTCAGAGCGCCAGATCTTGCAGGATCCTGCAGAGCCAGGGGCGCATCGACCCGGGCTGGGGCGCAGGGACCCTGCAGGATCCTGAAGGATCTTGCAGAGCCTGACTGGCCCTGGGTCTGGGCTGACCCATGGCAGTAGAGCCCCGAAGAACCGTTCAGGATGAGGAGGGGGAGGAGGAGGAGGAGGAGGAGGAGGAGGAGGAGGAGGAGGAGGAGGAGGAGGAGGAGGAGGGCGGAGGAGGAGGAGGAAGTGCAGGCCCCAGAGTCCAGGAAGGCCCGTGAAGGCCCCAGAGTCCAGGACCCGTGCTCCTCCGTGTTTCTCTCGTGCCTTCGGCGCTGCAGACACGCTTGCGAGCGCCGGCGCCGCCGATAAAAACAAGTCTTTCGTGCCGAAGCGAGGCTCCAGGTCCCAGGATTGCGGGAGCATGTTTTGGGGTTCTGGGCGTTTTTATATTGTTTTCTTGTTTTGGTTGGGGGAATGAGGAGGAGGAGGAGGAGGAGGAGGAGGAGGAGGAGGAGGAGGAGGAGGAGGAGGGAGGAGGAGGAGGAGGAAGTGGAGGAGGAGGAAGAGGAGGAGGGGAGGATGAGGGGGAAGAAGGAGGAGGAGGTGATAAGATGCATGCTGATGCTGATGATGATGGTGATTATGCTGACGGTGATGATGCTCATGACGATGATGCTGATGATGAGTTGGTTATGGTTGTTGCTGTTGTTGTTGTTGTTGCTGTTGCTATTGCTGTTGCTGTTGTTGCTGACGGTGGTCTTGGTTTCGTTGTTGTTGTCGTTGTCGTTGTCGTTGTTGCTGTTGCTATTATTGCTATTGTTGTTGTTGCTGTTGTTGCTGCTGTTGCTGTTGCTGTTGCTGTTGCTGTTGTTGTTGTTGTTGTTGTTGTTGTTGTTATTGTTGTTGTTGTTGTTGGTTTTGTTGTTACCGTCGTCGTTGTCGTTGTTGTTGTCGTTGTCGTTGTTGTTGCTGGTGTTGTTGTTGGTGTTGCTGTTGTTGTTGTTGTTGGTGGTGTTGCTGTTGTTGTTGTTGTTGTTGTAATTGTTGTTGTTGTGGTTGTTGTTGTTGTTGTTGTTGTTGTTGTTGTTGTTGTTGTCATGTCGAGCTCTCGTTCTTGAAGATGCTTATTGTACATGGTATTTGTCAGTTGAAGTGCCCCCTCGGGGTCCGCACCGTATTTTTTGAATGCGGAAGGTCTTCCTGCTCAAAGTTCGCCTTAGCCCCGCCGTCTACAACAACAGCGTTTTTTTTTTTTTTTTTTTTTTTTTTTTTTTTTTTTTTTTTTTTTTTTTTTTTTTTTTTTTTTTTTTTTTTTTTTTTTTATTATTATTATTATTATTATTATTATTATTTTTTTATATTATTATTATTATATATATAAATAAAAAAAGAGAAAAAAACGAAACAACACAGTGTATTCCAACATCGCGCTCTCGCGCGGGACTTCCTCACAATATCGGGCTTTCGCGCGAGACGTCTGCGCAATTTGATCGAACGCCACGCCCTCGACACTCAGGAATCGCACTCTCGCTCTGGCTTTTGGGAATCGCGCTATCGCTCGCGACTTGTGCAGGATTCCAGGAGAGCAGGGCGCCTCGCCAACTTGGAAATCGGCTCGTCTGTGCTACTGTGCCCTTTGGAAGTAGCCACCCCTTCAGGGTTGCATTGCTAGAAAGACAGAACTATCGCCAATTTGGGAATATGCTCTTCTGTGGTACTTTGCCCTTTGGAAGAACTTTGGAAGTAGCCACCCCTTCAGGGCTGCATTGCTTTAAGGTCGGTAGAAGGACAGAACTATCGCCAATTTGGAAATGTGCTCTTCTGTGCTACTTTGTCTTTTGGAAGTAGCTACCCCTTCAGGGTTGCATTGCTTGAAGGTTGGTAGAAGGACAGGGCTGTCGCCAATTTGGGAATAGACTCGCCTGTGCTACTTTGCCCTTTGGAAGTAGCAACCCCTTCAGGCTCGCGTTGCTTTTAAGGTTGCTAGATGGGCAGAACTACCGCCAATTTGGGAATAGGCTCGTCTGTGCTACTTTGCCCTTTGGAAGAACTTTGGAAGTCGCCACCCCTTCAGGACTGCACTGCTTTAATGTCGCTAGAAGGGCAGGATTATCGCCAATTTGGGGACAGGCTCTTCTGTGCAACTTTGCCCTCTGGAAGTAGCCACCCCTTCAGGGTTGCACTGCTTTGAGGTCGCTAGAAGGACGCAACTACCGCCAATTTGGGAAGAGGCTCTCCTGTGCAACTTTGCCCTTTGGAAGTAGCCACCCCTTCAGGGTTGTATTGCTTTACGGTTGCTAGAAGGGCGGAACTATCGCCGATGTGGGAATAGGCTTTTCTGTGCTACTTTGCCCTTTGGAAGTAGCCACCCCTTTAGGGTTGCGTTGCTTTAAGGTTGCTAGATGGACAGAGCTATCGCCAATTTGGGGGGGTGGAGAGGTCCTTGACAACGCCCCCCTCCCCCCCAACTGAGCGTTCAGTGGCCCTCTTGGGCAGCTCCTGGGGCTGTCTTGGGTGCTCCATTGCGTTTTCCTGGGCCCCTCGTGGGGCTCTCTTTGGCCATCTTTGAGCAATCTTGAGGCCTCGCGAGCCAATCGGACGCGACAAAGCCAGAATGCAAATATCATTGAAAAGCATAATGCTTTTGAGCTAGTTTGGCTTCTTGGGAGATTCCTGTGGGGGTCTTGGAAAGCGTTTGGAAGCGCAATGAAGCGGCCCCGAGGGCTCTTGTATGCGTGCCGGAATCTCTTGGATGCATGTTGGAGGATTCTTGGATGGGCGTCTTCCCTTGTCGCCCTCAGCGCGGTGGAGGCTCTGGCGAACGTCGCCCTTGCTACCCTGATGTCATGTGTTGGTCAAAGTCTGCAGTTCTTCGTCGTCGTCTTATGTCTACTGCCTGCCCCGTCCCTCTCTGTGGCCCGCCATCGGCACTCTGGGTATCGCCGCTGACGGGCGCGTGGACGTCGAGGGCAAGGCCGCCCTCGGCTGTCCCGCGCGATGTTGGGCGCCCCTTCTTCGCGATTCGTGCGGGATTTCACGATTCAGCAACCCGCCTGCTCGACGTGGCCGCGTGGGCCCGCTTCGCGGTTCTGCCCGCTAGGGTCTGCCCGCCCGATCTGCCCGTCTGATTGTGCGATGTGTTTTCCGTTCGTAGCCCCCCTCCTGCTAATTTCTCTCGTGTTCTATCCTCCTCCGTTCTCCTTTCTTTCCTCAAGTCAACAGCTCCTTCCAGGACTAGCACCCATTTGTTTCAAGGGAAAGTGGGGTGTCACCAAACCAGACTGACCGCCCCGTTTGGCACAACAGCGGCTCCCGCCTCACACTTTTTCGCAATTGGTTCCCAAATGGCGCTCTCGCGCGGGCTTCCTCACAGTTTCGTGGGACTTCTTCACAATTTATTCGAATGCTGCGCCTTCGACACTCAGGAATCACGCCCTCGTTATGGATGTTTCATGATTTGCTCAGAAATCGCGCTATCGCTCGAGACTTCCCTCGCGGTTCATGCAGGACGCACGCTGCAGCAACCCGCCTGCTCGACCTGGCCGCTTGAGCCCGCCTTCCGACCCGTCCGTTAGGGCCCACCAGCCCGATCTGCTTGTCTGGTTCGGCCACGTGCCTTCTGTTCCTATCCTCCCTCCTGCTGTTCCCTCTCGTGTTCCCTCCTCCCTCCCCCTTGTCCCTTCCTTCCATCAGTCCTCTCTCCCCCTGCCTAACTACTTAGGGGCTGCACAACATACAACTTGCGGGTAAAAGGTATATACCCCCAAGGGGGCACCATCGAAGACGAAGCGGGCGGGTATCGAGGGTTTGAGGAATACATGTTGAATGGTTCGTAATCAGATCATCGCGAACATTCTCAAGATAATTGTTGTTGTTGTTGTTGTTGTTGTTGTTGTTGTTGTTGTTGTGGTTGTTGTTGTTGCTGTTGCTGTTGCTGCTGCTGCTGCTGCTACTGCTGTTGCTGTTGCTGTTGATGTTGCTGTTGTTGTTGTTGTTGTTGTTGTTGTTGTTGACTCTAATTGCTGAAGAATAATTACTGTTGATACTGGTGCATATTGTTTTTCAATTGAAGTGCCCCTCCCGGCGCTCGCACCCTGTTATTCACCAGGGAAAGTCTTGAGGCTCAAACCGGGCCCCTGGCCCCCGGGTTACAACAACAACGGCTCCCGCTTGAGACTTCCCCACAACTTAGCCAGGACCCCGCTCCCGCGTGAGACTTCCCCGCATTTTATTCAGGAATGGCGCTCTCGCTTGGGATTTCCTTCTTACTTATTCAGGAATCGCTTTCTCGGCGCTCTGGAGTCGCGCTCTCGCTGGAGACGTGCTTGCAATCTATTCAAGAATAGCGCCCTTGCGTTGGAATTCCCCGCAATTTATTCAAGCGCCGCGCTCCCGACACTCAGGCGCTCAGGAGTCGCGCTCACGCCTATGACTCCCTCACACATTATTTAGGAATCGGGTGCAGCCCTTCGTTGCCCCCTCGCAACCCTTCGTGGCCCCGTTGCAGCCCCTCGTGGCCCCCTCGCTGCCCTTCGTGGCCCCGTTGCAGCCTTTCTTGGCCCCGTCGCTGCCCTTCGTGGCCCCTTTGTGGCCCCCTCGCTGCCCTTCATGGTTCCATATATGTATGCCCTTCGTGGACCCTGCTCGTCCGCGCCCGTCGTGGCCCCATATGCAAGCACTTCGTGGCGCCGCTGTCGCCCTTCGTGGCCCCCTCGCTGCCCTTCGTGGCCCCGTTGCTGCCCTCAGTGGCCCCGTCCTTGCCTTCCGCGGCCCAATATACGTATGCCCTTCGTGGCCCCTGCTCGTTCGCGCCCGTCGTGGCCCCATGTGCATGCCCTTCGTGGCCCCGCTGTCGCCCTGTGTGGCCCCCTCGCTGTCCTACGTGGCTCCGTTGCTGCCCTCAGTGGCGTGGCCCCGTCGTTGCCTTCCGTGGCCCTATTATCTGCCCTTCGTGGCCCCCGCTCGTTCGCGCTCTTCGTGGCCCTATACGCATTCCCTTCGTGTCCCCGCTGTCGCCCTTCGTGGCCTGCTTCGTGCCTTTCGTGGCCCTGCTGTCGTTCTCTCTCTCGCTCTCGCTTTCGCTCGTCGTCGTCGTCGTCGTCGTCGCCGTCGTCGTCGACGACGACGTCGTCGTCGTCGTCGTGGTCGGTCCCCTGTCCGTCCCCCTTGGCGTCGGGTTGCCGCCGATCAGCGCTGCCGCTGGCCAGGCCGACGGTCCGCGGCCGGGCCCCGCCGCTTGCCGGGGCCCGGCCTGCAGGGAAGAAAGGTATACCCCCCAAAAGGGGTACGATCGAAGACGAAGAGGGCGGGTATCGAGGGCTTGGGAACTACGCGTCAACGGGCACTCGAGCAGACAAGAGCGAAAAGTCTTAAACTGATTGTTGTTGCTGCTGTTGTGGATTTGTTGTTGTTGTTGTTGTTGTTGTTGTTGTTGAAGATGTTGTTGCTGATTGTGATGTTGTTGTTGCTGTTGTTCTTTTGGTGGTTGTTGTGAATGTTGTTGCTGTTGCGGTTATTGGTGTTGTTGATGTTGCTGCTGCAGATGATGTTGATGATGCTGTCGATGATGATGCTGATCGTGGTGATGCTGATAGTATTGCTGATGATGTTAATGATGATGCTGCTGCTGATGCTGCTGATGCTGATGTTCATGCGAATGCTGATGCTGATGATGATAGTGATGTTGTTGTTGATCATGATGATAATGAGTATGCAGAATCAGATGACGGTGATGATGGTGATGATGTCGGTTATGATGGATCATATAGGAGTGTGGATGATGGTGGTGCTGATGATGGTGATGTTGACGCCGCTTCTGCTGATACTCATGATGGTGATGATGATGGTGATGAGAAGGATGAGGATTAGGATGAGGGTTAGGATCATGATGATGATGATGGTGCAGGTGGTGGTAATGGTGGTGGTGATGATGCTGCTGATGCTGATGGTGATGGTGCTGATGCTGATCAGAATGATGCTGATGATTATGATGATGAGGATGATGGTAATGGTGGCGGTGATGACGATGCTTGTGATGATGATAATGCTGCTGATGATGATGTTGATGGTGGCGACGATGACGATGATGCTGCTGATAATGATATTGATGATGCTGCTGATGATGATGTGGATGATGAGTGTAATGATGAAGATGAAGATGAAGATGATGATGATGATGATGATGATGATGATGCTGATGCTGCTGATGCTGATGCTGATGCTGATGCTGATGCTGCTGATGATGATGCTCATGCTGATGATGCTGATGCTGATGCTGATGATGATGACGATGATGACGACGACGATGATGATGATGATGATGATGATGATGATGATGCTGATGCTGATGCTGATGCTGATGATGATGATGATGATGATGATGATGATGATGATTCTGATGATGATGATGATGATGATGATGATGATGATGATGATGATGATGATGATGATGATGATGATGATGATGATGATGATGGATGGGATGCAGGAGGGGAAAGAGGCGAGGGGGAGGAGGGGGGGAGGAGGAGGGGGAGGAGGAGGAGGAGGGAGGAGGAGGAGGGGAGGAGGAGGAGGAGGAGGAGGAGGAGGAGGAGGAGGAGAGGATATGTTTGATGGAGAGGAGGAGACGCACATCTTTTCATGTGAGAGAAGGGAGGGGGCAGGATGGAATGGGGGGGGCGGGAGAGGGCGCCAGGGACGGGTGCAGGGAGCGGCGACGCCGTGACCCCCCGCAGGCGCAGGCCAGCCGCCTGGAGGTGCAGAAGGAACTCTCGAAGGCCAGGGCGCAGATGGGCGACTACCGCTCGTCCGCCAAGGACCGCGCCGACCCAGGAGGCAAAGGCCGAGGGTGACGGTTGTGCCTCGCTCGCCGTTCACTTCTTGGATCTATGACACTCATGACACTCCTCCTCCTTCTGCTCCTCCTCCTGCTCCTCCTCCTCCTCCTCCTTCTCCTCGTCCTCTTCTTCCTCCTCCTCCTCCTCCTCCTCCTCCTCCTCCTCCTCCTCCTCGTGCGTCCCCTACAATCGGCGGCGAGCGAGGGGGGGAATCGAGAAGGAGAAGGCCTTCTCGGAAGGCGGCGGGACTTCTCAGAAGCCCTCGCGCCTTCTGAAAAGTTTTCTGTCCTCGGGGAAGGCTTAGGAAACTTCTCAGAAGTCCAGGGGACTTCCGAGCCTTCTGAGAAGGTGCGCCTCTTCTCACTTCTCCCCCTGGCTCGCCGCCAAAAAGGTCAGGCGATCGCAACCATGGATCTAGGTGGCGTAGATTAGCGACGGGTCCCGTTTCCAGAAAGAATCGCAGGGTTCCGCCGCCGAGCGAGGCGGCACCGGCCGCATTTTGGGGAGGGCACCTCCCCCGATCCATGGATCTGGCGACCGCGCGCCAGATCCTTGGATCGCTAATCCATGTCTGCGCGCCCCCGAAGAGGGAGGCCCAGGCCACATGGCGCCCGACTTGGCAGAGAGCTTGGGTCACCTCGCGTGGGCGCGAAGGTAGCCATCGGCGCCACCCCGACATCATACGATATGTGCGTCGGCCCCCCCCCCAGGGGAGACGCGCGCACGGAGAAATCTTGTAGTACGTTCGTCGTGGCGGGCGCTTTCTGGCCGCACCGCTCGCGAAACGATCTACAGTGAGCGGCTTGAATAAGGAACACTTACTTTTCGAAAGGGGCTCGGCCGTTCCTTAGATTTTGCATGCGTTACTTACAGTTCCTTCTGCGTGATCCATTATTTATCGCTCCTTCTGCGTTATTCCTTGGGATACAAAAAAAAGGGGCTTCGCTCCTTATTTCTCGTTCCCTAGGTCAGGCCGGTGACTGTACTGCAGGATGGGTATACTGTATGCTCGGATCGGCCGCGCGCCTCCGTGGAGGACACGTAGCATTAGCATGTCTCTGCGCGTCCCATGCAGTCGGGGCCCTGAAGAAGGAACCCTTTTGGTTGGGGATGGGGCTCCGCGTTCCTGAAGCGTTTCGCAGCTCGCCTCAGGTGTTCCTCATGTTTTCGATGGGAAGTCGAAGCTTCAGTTGTGGAAAAGGAGGGGCCTCGTTCCTGATTTGGGGTTCCTTAGGTCGAGGCCCCGACTGTACTACAAGATGGGTATACTATATGCTCGGGTCGGCCGCGCGCCTCCCGGGAGGACACACAGTATCAGCATGTCTCTGTGCGTCCCATCCTTACCCCCCCCCTCCTCCTCCTCCTCCTCCTCCTCCTCCTCCTCCTCCTGCTCCTCCTCCTCCTCTTCCTCCTCCTCCTCCTCCTCCTCCTCTCAAGCCACTTGGGCTCCAACCAGGTTTGGGGCCGGCGCTGGTGCCTGCACGGGGCGCTTGAGGCACTGCAGGCCGTCCGACCTCCCCACGGACGCCCTGCCGACCAAAGCCAGCGTTTCAGTTTCTCTCAGCAATGACGGCGGCCCGCCAATGGAGCCGCTGCGGCGCGTGCCAACGCGCAGAGTACAACGACATCCTCGTCCGCCAACAGTGCTTCTGTGCGTGCGGGAAGAAGGTGGTGCTCTTCTCACCCTCGCCCAAGTCGAGGAAGCGCGACCAGCAGCCTGTGGTCCAGGACACAAAGCCCGCGGCGCCCTCGGTCGTGGACCACCTGAAGGCAGCGCTCGAGGCCACCCCATCCACGGACGTGGACCTCAGGGCGTCGCTCCAGGCCAAGATCGACGCCCTCACGACGAAGGGCGACCAGCGGCCGCCGCCGCCCTCGGAGGCCATGCAGGTCTCGAAGGCGGAGGGCATCTGGAAGGACGCCAACCACAAGCACGACCAGGCGGTGGCCAACGTCCACCGCCTCAGGGCGGCCCTCCAGACCGCCGAGGAGAAGGAGCAGCTCGCGGCGCGCGCCCTTGCCTCCGCCGAGATCGGCAAGAGGCAGGCGGCGCAGGCGCTTGCGCGGGCTGCAGGGGTCGACGTTTCGACCACCAGCGGCGAGCGGCCCGCGTTCGAGGTGAAGTGGGACACGAAGCTCTTCGACGATCTTGACCAGGTCGAGGTCGAGGAGTCAGAGCGCAATCAATTGCGCAACATCAAGCAGGAGCTCGAGGAGATGCAGGCCCTGTTCTCGAGCAAGAACGCGGAGGTGCAGGAGTGGCTGCGCAAAGCAGCGGAGGTCAAGGCAGCCATCTCGGAGCGCATGACCAAGAAGCGCCGTGCGCAGGACGGCTCGGCGGCCCAGGGCGCAGCCGGTGCCGCCCCTCAGCCCGCAGGCGGCTCGGAGGCGCAGCCTGGCGGGACTGCTGGCGGCGGCGGCGAGGGCGGCTCAGCCAGCTCGTCGGGCTCCACAGGCGCAGGCTCGGTCGAGCACGAGGCGGCGGTGCAGCAGGAGGCGCAGCGACTCTCAGCTGCCAAGTTCGCGGCTGCGGCGGCGGCGGACGGGCAGCGTGCAGCAGGCAGCGGGGCCAAGGGCGGAGCCAAGGGCGGTGCCGCCAAACCCAAGGCCAAGGCATGACGGGTTGCGCCTGGGGCTGCCAGCAGCCCCCCTGTGGCAGCGGCATCGACCCCGCAGCCCCAGGCGCCAGTTTTGTCGGCGGCCGAGGCCACCCCAGCGGTCAGTCGCATTTTCTTCAGCAACGTCACGACCATGGGCGATTCAGCATGGTCTTTCTTAGATTCCATCACTGCCACGCACGAGTACATTGGGGTTGCAGAGACTCATATTCCTGAGTCACAGCTGCGCAAGTGGGATGCTCGTGCCCGTGGTGCTGGTCTTCGTCTCCTGGCGAACGCGGCTCGACCCAGCGGACGCCATCAGTCTCTTAGTACTATTGACAAAGCCAACGAAGGTGGAGAGTGGCTTCTCTCAAGGGGGCACCTTCATGTGGAAACGCTACGCGAGGCCAGTTCCACTACGGCCTTGCGGGCTCCTGGGTTCTCGGCGCTCGACGGGTTCGTAGCTACCGTCATCCACTGCAACGGCTTTTCGTTCATCCTGTGCATCTGCTACGGCTTCACGGGGGTCGGCCTGACAGGCCGCAACTTGGCTCGTTTCTATCGTCTTGGCGCCTTGCTCAGCAGCCTTCGGCTGCCGTGGATTTGCCTGGGCGACTGGAATGTTGAGCCGCCCGCCGTCATCGCGTCTGGTTTCCTGGACCAGGTGTTCGGCCACATCATCACTCCTGAGGGGGTCTCCTACACCTGCGACGCCAGCAAGCAGGGGAGCATGCTGGACTATGCAATCGTCAGCGAGGCCGCCATCCCGTACATCATTTCTCTCCAGCCACGGCTGGACATTCCATGGCGGCCGCGCATCGGCCTTTCCATGACTTTCCGCAGCCAAGGGCACCAGCTCTTGACGCGCGGGCTCGTCTGCCCCAGCCGCCTGCCCCAGGTTGCTCGCCCGTGCACGCTGCCCTCTCTTGGTTCCAAATCGTCTATTGCCAAGCGTGACAAGCAAGCCAAAGCGGTGCTTGCCCGAGCCACCAGATGTGAAAAGATTCAGGTGCTGTTCGGAGATCATGTCGGGGGCCAGGCGAGCTCCCAAGATCAATCTTGCAGCCAATCCATGTCAGTTTCTGTTGATTTTTGTGACGAGCCTCCCGAGGCCGACCAATGGCCAGATGAGGAGGACCCGTGGGCTTCTGAAGACGCGTTCTGTCAGGTCCAGAGCAAAAGCGAGCCGTCGGCCGTCAGCATAGTCACCTCTCGTGACACGTCTGAGCCAGCTTGCAGTAATAGTGTCTTTCAGGGTCCACCCCCCCCAGCCAAAGGTTGCGTCTCGATTTTGCCCCCCCCTTTAAGGAAGTCCCTGCGTCAAAGGTTGAGCCATCGTTTCACATCCCAGCTGAGGTTTGGGCATGGTGCCGAGAGCTAAACAAGGGCACGTCCCCGTGGGACCCTCACCCCCCCTCCTCCTCCTCCGTAGTGTTTTGCCTCAACTCTCAGCACAGGGAGTTTGCGAGCTTGTGGTGCGGCCAGTGGGTTTCCACTCTTGAGCAGGCCATTCTCTCGCACCATCAGTTGCCCGCCGTGGTCGGCACGTGCAGGGCTGCGGGCTGCAGTTTCGTGATCGAGCCCGTCAGCCACAGTGGTCGGCAGCGCGAGGTCCCACTCAGGGATCAAGTGACAGCTTGGTGGAAGAGAGTCTCATCCATATTACTTCAGACTGTACGACATCTCGGTCGTGACAACGGAGTGAAGCAGCTGGTCCAGTTACATCGTGCCTGCCAGCATCTTACGAGCGACCTACCTGAAGGTGTAGCCAGTTTGCTCAGGGCCGACGAGCCCAAGTTTGACGAGTGGATTGGTCTCTTGCTGAACGTCGGTGGCTGCGCGGCCCGCGTGCTGGAGGCCTTTCAGGGACTTGCAGGGCGCATCGAGCAGAGGGCCCACCGTCGCGCCATCAGGGAGTCCCTCAGCGACTTCAAGGCGTGGCTCACCGACCCCAAGGCCAGCGGCGCGGTGTACCGCTCGCTGCGCGAGGGCGCCCTCCCCCGCCAAGAGATCGTCGTTGGCAGCTCGACCCTAGTGCACCCTAAAGACATCCTCGACGCCAAGGCGCGCCAGTGGAAGGCCATCTGGAACGCTCATCCTCACGACCCTCAGGCCCTGGAGACGGTCGTCGACGAGGTGCGAGTGGCGGCGCGCGACGAGCCCCTCCCACCCATCACAGGTGCTGAGGTGCACGCCGCCGCTCGGCGCATGAAGTGCAGGACGGGGATGGGCTGCGACCGCCTATCCCCCGCGGACATCGAGCGTGTCCCAGCTGCTGGCCTGGGCGAGTTGGCGGCCCTCTTCAACTACCTGGAGGCGGCGCTGGTCTGGCCACAGCAGACGCAGTTGATCATCGGGAAGCTTCTCCCGAAGAAGACC